AAATGTAATACTCCCCTGATTGAAGAACAAACTCTCTTTAGCGTAGTGTCAAGAGTGTGCTAATAACATGTTCTAGGCCTAATTCACTAAATCATATAAAGGACAGAGAGAGAGGATGAGGCAATAGTAGAGAGAAAGAGAGAGATGTGTAATTGTGAGGTGTGTTTTGTATCACCTCATTGTGCCTTTATTTATAGTAGTAGGAAATGTTAAATCCTTACGCTACTAGGATTACAAGTCTAATAGGATAATATCTAACCCTAGAGAATATTCCAAGATATCCCTAGATATACTGGAATTTACACAATCACATTCTTAATCTAATAGGACTGCAACAGTAATCTATTTATTTGATTTGATTCGATTAATTTTTGTATAAAGATCTATTGAGATACCCATTTTCCCTTTTTATTTTCCATTACAAGATCAAGGGCCAAAATACAAGCCTTGGGTACAAGATCAACACCAACAGAGGAGGGTTTAAGCAAACAAAACTGTTACATGTTGAACGCAAATATATAGGTTTAATTTTAGCTACGCCACTTGAAACTCGATTTTAATACTTTGATTTCTGTAACTCAGAAGTTGTCACTTTACTTTTTGAAACTCATAGTGTGCTCCACTTTGCCCTTTAGAACTCGATTTTGATCCATTTCGCTATCTGAAACTTAAAAGTCGTTTTTATAAAACTCAAAATCCACTCAACATTGCCATAGATATGTTAATTTTTTATGTGGATTTGATTTGGATGGGCCAGGTTAATTAATTTCTTTTTGATTTTTTTCATCTCTTCAATTTCTTTTAAACTTAATATTTTATGATTGTTGTCACTTAGTACTACGATTTAGTGATATTTCTTATCACTTGTAAGTGCGAGGTCTCAAGCTCGATTCTCACCAAAAGTGATTTTGAACCAAATTATTGCTAGCCTATTGTGTGGCTAAACTCGCCCCCTCCTTTATAATATCGTTTATTAAAAAAAAATATTAAAAATTCTAATTGTTAAATGGTAATACATACTGGAAATTTATAATCAAATTTATTGAACATCTATCATGGTTTTATTGGAGGTTGGGTCCCATATATATTTTAGGAGGCAACCGAATAAAATAATGATTTTTGAACATGTGGCATAGTCTTATTAGAGGTTGGATCCCACATATATTTCAAGAGTCAACCGAATAAAGTAATGACTTGTGAGTTACACAGAGTGAAGTGAGATTAAATTGAAGTTACAAGCCTATCTAACATATCATAAAACTTGGTCAAACTCTCATCTGATCATAAAACGCAATTTCATACTCTCTTGCTTCACCTTGCACCCAGTGTATTAAAAGCGTGAGGTATGGGCGAGACGTTTGAGGGATAGCCCGGCCTAGGCTTGAGACGTGAGGTGAAGCCCTACAGGGCCAAATTTTTTTAATATATACACTGAGTGTACACATATATTATAAATATACACACACACATATATATATATATACATATATTCTATTATATACATATATATATATATATATATATATATATAATAGAGGATGAAAACACAATGAGCACACATATAACAATGCACGCAGACAACACACACATCCATTATATAAAAAAATAAAAACCAGGAAAAAAAAAAAAAGGCAGAGACGATAATGCAAGGAAGAGGTACAAGGTAATTAAAACCCTACCCAAAATTTGGGCTTGGGAGTTAAAAAAAAAATTAAAAAATAATAATAATAATAAAAAAATAAAAAAAAACAAAACAAAAACAAAAACAAAAGAAGCAGCCAAATAGAGATGCCTTGACGCCTTCCGCCCACTCCCTCAAAACAGAGGCGGCAACCCTCACGCCCAGCCTCAGAGGCCGCCTAGGCACGCCCTGAGGCAAGCCTTTTAAAACATTGTCTTGCACATAAGGAGACAACTCATTCAGTATCATTCGAATTGATCTCCTATCATTTTTTTTTGTTTTTTTTTAACATTTTCCTTAGTGACATTGCTTATACGCTTAAACTTTAAACTTTTTGGATAATGTTGCAGACCAAACATGGTGAGGCAAGTATTGGCCAAGTCGATCAAACTTGTGACTAGCCAAAGGAAATCCTTGCTTGCTTGGACACTGGAGTCTTGGACTTGGGATTTACTTTGAAACTGAGATGCTAAATTTAACCTCGAAGGTGTTGTGTACCAGGGTTTCACAGAAAACACAGGCTTTTGCAATGTTAGCAGTTCGATGAAGTCAGAAATACAGACGACCTATCTTCATTTGTTAGGCTTGGGAACGTCACCTACACTGTTGGAGGAGCTTTCCTGAACAACTTGAGATGAAGAAGACCTACTTGATGAGCTTCCATCTGTAATGCCCCTATCCTTCCTCTGTGATTGCTTGGCCTTCTTAACCCCAGAAGATGAATCCTGTGAAACTCAACTCAGTAAATTATTATCTCTAATGTACAGAGCATTGCTGCAGTTATATCTATGACATACAGATACAAAAACGTTACTCCGAGTATTGCTTCTACAACAAGTTTACAAGTTAAAACTAACCTGTGGTGCTGAAGACCCTGGCATCTTAAGTTCAAGGTCTGTTGCTACATCGTTGGAGTCGTCACACCTTTCAGCATTGCTACCCCTTTGATGATCTGATGACCTACTCCTGGAATCTTGCTTGCTTGAACTGTGGGAGACAGATGCGCACTGCAGTGATGGGTGTTCTACTGGAGGATTGGCAGGTACTGGATATGGCACAAAAGTTGAACAGGGATTAGGCATAGCAGCAGGATTTTGAGCATGAAAGTAAGGATACGGCTGAAGTGACGGGTGCATGGGAATTGGGCCGGGAGGGACAGCTACAGGCATTGGATATGGGTAAGGTGGAGCCATAACAACAGAAGGATCCATGCCAGCCCATGGGAGCATAACTCTCAGTCTTTGTTGATACTGAACATTTAGATTTTCAATATCGGATTTTAGAGATGCCTTCTCTTCTCTTAGCTCGTTCTTCTCCTGCGTTAGCTGCTTGTAATAGACAAGAATTCCGATCACATTAGCACATAATCATCCTCACAAGTTACAACCACAGGATACTACACGGTAACAATAACATCACCCCACCTCACGGGATTCATCAGTAAGTGCAGCACATTCAGCCTTTAGTTTGTTGACATCGGCAGTTAAATCCTTCAACATTTGAATTGTGTCGGTAAGGATGGTTGCCTTATCGTTCTTGGGCCTATCCGGATCTGCATTTCCAGCATAACAACGAGGGCACAAGGGATGTGTATCATAAACTAACTATATTGCGAATTAACAAGACCGTTAATCCAAGTATGTATTAATTTCATGCCAAACTGAAACTATCTAACTTCAATTACGATGTTTAAACATGTCATTCCCGAAAAATCATGGCAGAAGGAGTAACAGACAGCAGCAACTAAAACTTACCTAATGTGTTGCCCAACTCAAAAAAATGCTCGTTCAATCGATCCCTCCTCACCTTTTCGCGGTCTGCTTTCTGAACCTTTCTAGCAACAATCGGGTCCTTCGTCTCCGCATCAAGTCTTTGCCTGCCAACAAAATCAAACTGTAAAGATCAAACTTTTTCATCTGCTTCAAGCCCATCAATCATTTTTTCCTTTTTTTTTCTTTCCAAATTATTTAATCCAACAGACATTCAATTGCTGAATCCAAACAAACCCAATAAAATTTGTAGAGAGAGAGATAACCTGGAATCAGAGTTGGAGTTGTGGGGACGATTGGAGGGGAGAGGGTGAGTAGAAGGAGGAGCTGAAGCAGCTGAGAAATCGTCGGATTTCCAAGGATCCATAATTTTGGGGTTAATTTTTGAGCCTAGGATTTTGCTCTTCACTGCAAATTGAAGAAATTGGGGAAGAACGAGAGAGAATCACAAAGATACAAAATTGAACACTGATCTCAACTTGCTTTCCACAACAAAATCCACCACGGGGAAATGGTTGCCACCTGCGATTTGGATATGGGTTTTTCATTTTTTTTATCGTTTTTTATTGAATTTTATAATTTTTTAATGGCAAAATTTATATTTCTTATTAAAATTGCTTTGGAAGGGAGATGGTGCATTTTTCATAAGATAGTGCTATCTACACTTTTTTTTTTTTTTTTTTTTCATACATATTTGCTAGTTTTTGTCCATCGATTATATTCAATTCATTCATTCAATCTGAAAGATGAAAAGTAAGAGGATTGTGTGATAATTAAAAATAAATGTGTGAATAACACTACTTTTTTTATACCCTGTAGAAAGAGGATGATGTTTTAGTTACCGTTAAATTAGTATGATTTTAATAATTAAAGACACGAATCTCAAATTTAAATTAATTTAATGACAACATAAAGAGTACATCAAAAATATAACCTTGAATTTGACAATATATATATATATATATCCTTCGAATTTAGACCATTTTAAAAAAGTGGCATCACCTTTCAATTTTTTCACATTACCACTCAAATAATTAAACTAGCAACAATAAAAACGCTTTTGCCTCAAATCTTACAAGCCTTTGTTTTCTATTTACGTAGCATGCGTGAATCTTACTTTAGAAGGCAAAATCAAACAACATTTCAGATTGACTCTTCTCTTTGAGTTTTGGTCAAACTAAAAGATAACTTGAATCATCAAAAGTTTTTATACTTCAAGTGAGAGGATTGATATGCGTTTTTTTATGAAGTGTCTCGAAATCAATGGCGTACTTTAAAAAAACTATTTCGTTAATTTCTGTCTTGAACATCGATTTGTCTCCTGAACTTCAACTTGACAAGTTTCTTCCATCTAGTATTCCCCTTAATGTCATTTTCATTCTCATTTCATCTTTTTTTTTTTATATTTAAGTTGTGACGTAAAATTAAAAAAAAAAAAAAAAAAAACTTTTGATGACGCGCATGTGAATTTTTTACACACAAGAAATGAACATGAGGGAAGAGTTAAGGGTAAAAATTGGTAATTAACATTAATTGATAGAGGAAAATTGGGCAAATCAAAACTGTAGGGGCCTAATCATCTAAAGAAGTACAACATCCGGGGGGAAATTGCTAAAATTACCTATCTTACCGGCTTTACCTAACGGCGTCGCATTTCGGTCCCTCGCTTTCTCTTACCTCCAAATTCGGAAATTGCCTGTTGAGGATTTCCATCTATCTGTAACCAGAAGCGAGGAAGAAGATGAAGATTGTGACGTACAACGTGAACGGGCTGCGGCCGCGGATTGCCCAGTTCGGCTCTCTCTTCAAATTGCTGAATTCATTGGACGCCGACGTCATCTGCTTCCAGGAAACCAAGCTGCGACGGCAGGAATTAACCGCCGACTTGGCGGAGGGCTACGAGTCCTTCTCCTGCACCGGCACCTCCGGAAGGGGCCGCACCGGGTACTCCGATAATTGTTTGTTAAAATGCCTCAACCAGCCACACCGCGGGGCACACACTCTCTTCAAATTTTGCACCTTTATGTTTCCTGTTTTGATTGATTTTTTTAAATATAATGTGGTTCTGTGAAGGTGTGGCGACATTTTGTCGTGCGAAGTGGGCGTTCTCGAGTGACGAAGTCGCTTTGCCGGAGGTGGCGGAGGAATGCTTTACCGGGGTTCTTGACAGTGGAAAGGAAGAAATGATTGCGGTTGCGGAAGGGCTTGAGGAGTTTTCAAAAGAGGAGCTTTTGAAGGTTGATGGCGAGGGGCAGTGTGTTATCCCGGATCATGGGCATTTTGGTATGTTTTGCCTTAGCTTCTAGTTTCAAGCTGGAGTCTTTGTGAGGTTTTATTTTATTTGTTGGGGAAAGTTTAAAGATTTATATTGACAATGGCTGTGTAGTTCTCTTCAATTTGTATGGGCCTCGAGCTGGATGTGATGATACTGAAAGGACGGAGTTTAAACTCAAGTTTTCAAGATGTTAGAGGTAACCAAAATGACCCTTTTACTTTTTAAGTTGCCATCGAAAAAGTTAGAATTGTTATTGTCGTAGTTTTTTTTTATTAATGTTTCTGTTGTAGAAAAGGTGGGAGTCTCTCTTGCGTCAGGGTAGGAGGATATTTGTTGTTGGTGATCTTAACATTGCACCCACTTCATTAGATCACTGTGATACGCAACCAGATTTTGAGATCAACCAGTAAGATGTTTGCCTGATCTCTAGCAGTGGCCATCTGTGCATGTAATTATATGCAGAATATATAATTGTAGTTCATTCCTAATAATTGAGAAAATCTACCTTGTAGATTTAGAAGATGGTTTAGATCGATGTTGGTGGAAAATGAAGGCTCTTTCTTTGATGTTTTCATAGCAAATAATCCTGATAGGTAAAGCATACACATGCTGGTCACAAAGTACAGGTGCTGAAGAGTTTAATTATGGCTCTAGAATCGATCACAATCTTTGTGCAGGGGCATGCTTACACCAAGAGCAGGACTTGCAAAGTCATAATTTTGTAACATGCCATGTCAAGGAGTGTTACATATTGACACAATTTAAACGGTGGAAACCAGGAAATTCTCTGAGGTATAGGATACATAGATGCTTGTTTTTTGTGTGCTTGCAGCCCATGCATGGATGTCATTCTTGTATTAGTTTTACTTTTGTGATTATGCAACAGTAGGTAATGTGGAAGTGCATGCATGTGGTACATATATGTAGGTGAAACATGTCTATGTGAGTGTTATGATGTTGCCTTGACCTCTTTCCCCGCCCGCAGATGGAAGGGAGGGCAGAACATCAAACTCGAAGACTCCGATCATGCTCCAGTTTACACAAGTTTACTGGAAATTCCTAGTGTTTCCCAGCATAGCACCCCATCTTTATCTGTTAGATACATTCCAATGGTTGGTGGCCTCCAACAAACCATGGTATGGAATTATATTCTCCCTTTTGCTGACTACCATCTTGTTTGATTTTAGATGTTTCCATATAAACATTCTCGTGAAATATGCAAGGACATAAATGATAAACCTTTTGTGCACACTTGAAATTTGAAGGAAGCGACTGCTTCCTTGGTTCAACTAGTATTTAGTTGTCTATTGATTTTAGTTATATTATAGCAGTACTTATTGATCAAATAGATTAAGGGTTTGTTGTGTGCCTTGTGTTTAACGTGATTTGGGATGGTGGAATATCGTATGTGCAGCTGCCTTTAGTTTGGGACAAGTTTGCAACTTTGGTGTTCATTAATAAAAACTATATCTATGTATATAGATGTTAAATATTTTGACTACGAGTCCAACAATAAAAGAGTGAAAACGAAAAAGATTTGAATTTGATTATATCGCTTAATTACTAATACTTCATACTTCCCCATATGGATGCTGTATGCTCTCTTAACCTGTTCTCCTGAAGCTACTTCTTCTCTATGCCTACTCGAGGTTGACTGAACCCTTTGTCCTCCTGTGCAGTATCTTTGCTAATGAAAAGACAAGCTGCGTAACAAGTTAGACAGAAATATCATTCAAGAGAGTTTCAGTAAGGAAGAAAGATGTTCACCTGACCAATGATGCACACCCGGTGCACCCAGCGGCAACTCCTGTTCTTTGAGCCAAAACTCCCAAGTGATCAGTTGAAAAACAAATGAGCATTCAAGCGCTTTTGCTATTGAGGCTACTTGTAACACTTTGGTAACTTTAGGTGGTCAACGTACAAAAACAATGTGCAGCAGTGAAGCTAGGAAAAAATCAAAAAGGAGTTCCCAACTCTCTTTGAGGTCATTTTTTCAGAAAAGTTCTATCAGTAGCAACAGTTTGAGCAATAATACTGGTATTTCTACTAGTCAGAGAAATGTTCCAGATTCTAATCATCTCTCAAATGAAACTCCAATACCAGAAAGTCAAAGCGGCAGTCCCAAGCAGTATGAACTGAACTCTAGTGTATCAAATCAAGATCAGGATGAAGTAGATGTCTGCTCCTTGGACAAAGAGAAGAATAATTTTGCGTTATTGGAGTGCCAAAGGTTACAGCAAGTCATGTAGAATAGCATACCAGTTTGCAAGCGCCATAGTGAACCTTGTGTTGCTCGGGTTGTGAGGAAGCGAGGTCCTAATTTTGGACGCAGATTCTCTGTCTGTGCGTGTGCTGAGGTATGTTTTTGTTAGGGTAAAGTACAAAAAACTACCTCAATTATGGGTCAAATGACACTTTCATACCTCATCTTTTAAAATTGACAATGTCATACCTCATCTTACGAATTTGTGTCAATGTTATACCTTCCGTTAGTTTGGCCGTTTATTTCTCAGTTAAATGCTGACGTGGCTTGATCTGAGACCCATTTTTATTAAAAAATTATTAAAAACAAAAAAAATCATTTAATATTATTTAAATATTAAAATAATAAAGAAAAGTTATTTAAAAAAAAAAAAAAACCAACATCAATTCGTCTCTCCCCCCCTCTCTCCCTTCTCCCCATCTTTATCTTCTTCCTCTTTCTGCAACTGCAACCCAGAAAAACAGAAGAGAAAAAAAAAAAAAAAAACAATATGTTTTCCCTGCTCCTCACCCCCTCTTCTCTCCACACCCACGCACCCAACCTCCCCACCTTCGCACCCCACCCTCTGCACCCAACCTCGCACCCACTACCTACAACCCAAGAAAAAAAAAAAAAAGCCTAGAAAAAAACCCATTCTCCTGGGCGAGGAGAAAATGGGCGGCGGGGGCGTGGGGGGTGTTAAACATTTTCACCTCCGGGAAGAAGATTGCCCGAGCCCGCGAAGGCGGTCCATCCAGTTGTTCTCAGAGATCAGACCCGCCCAATGCGGAGGAGCTCAGGCGAAGGAAATTCCTCGCATGGCCTCCCTGACCCTCATCGCATTCTCCGCCGTAAGCGGCGCGTTTCTGCAGTTCTCGTCTTCTCTGAAAGCCCTAATTATCTCCGAGTTGGAAGCAACCTCCTCCTCCACTTCTTCTGCTTCCGCTTCGTCATCGCTGCTTCTGTTCAAGCGATCACTATGCCCGACGCCGTCGTTTAGCTGGAGAGACGAGATTCCTCCGTCGATCTGATTGACAGTGACGTCGTTGGAGTGCAGCTGGGAGTGGATCGGGACGGTGTAGTTTCCGATCTGGTCGTCGTCGTCTTCGGAGTCGACGGCAGAAACTAGCTGGTAGAATTCGGCGGCAGGGGGTTGGGTTTGTGGTGGGGGAAGGGGGTATGAACTGGGTTTCGTTTGGTTTGGGTTTTTTTTTTTTTTTTTTTTTTTGTCCTCTTCTTCTTCTTCTTCTTTCTCCTTTTTCTTTTCTGGGTTGCAGGAAAATGATAGGGAAGAGAGAGAGGGGAGAAGGAGAGGTTTGTTTTTTATTTTTTTATGTACTTTTTTATTATTATTTTAATATTTAAATAATATTAAATGATTTTTTTTGTTTTTAATAATTTTTTTATTAATTTTTTAATAAAAATGGGTCCCGGATCAAGCCACGTCAGCATTTAACTGAGAAATAAACGGTCAAGCTAACGGAAGGTATAACATTGACACAAATTCGTAAGATGAGGTATGACATTGTCAATTTTAAAAGATGAGGTATGAAAGTGTCATTTGACCCATAGTTGAGGTAGTTTTTTGTAATTAACTCTTTTTGTTAACTTTAATACTGCTGGAAATTTGTAAAAGTTTCTAATATACGATATTGGAGTAAGAGTAAAACAGAAAGAAAATGAAATAATACCCTGGCATGTAAATAAGGAAAACGAAGTTTAAGCATGATTCAGTATTGTGATGTCTGATGAAATTATGAATTCAAGTGTATGACAGTGAAGTGTGGACAAAGGACAAGTATCTTTAAATGAATTACTCCTTTCTTTGATTCTTTCCATTATTTTGTACATCTCAGATTCAGTTGATTTTGTAAAAGCAACCTTGTAACTAGTTTCCCTTCAGTACTTAGAACCTAGAACTTAGGATGAACAGGTCCTCCGGCTGTGCAGTCTGTTTTACCCCATTTTGCCATTAAAGAATTTGGGCATCTGACAATTGCAAGCTTTATACAGAACTACAGATATTGTGAAGTTTATATGTACTCGAGCTAAGTTTGCAGTTGACTACTCGTGAGACGTTTGTCTTGTTTATGTGGAATAGCAGAAGGCAAAGTAGATGATTTATGAACTAACTAGTGGCATTCCTTTTGTTCTTCCTACAGGGACCTGCATGTAATCCAGAAGCAAATTGTAAGTATTTCTAATGGGCTTCTTCGAAACCCCGACAGAAATGACGGTGGTGATCAGTGATGCCAGGTAATAATCGATGTCATGCTTTTAGTTTCCAGCCTACCCTTCGAGACGATGTAGGTTTGGAAAATTTTGTAATTGAAATGATTCTTTTTGAAATAGAAGTCTCAGGCATAAGCTCCTTTGTTGTATTATTTAGCTGTATAACTTTATTCATTTTCTTGTTTAGTGAATTGATCGCCGTGCTGCACGAAAGAAATATGTTTCCAGAATATCAGAATCTTAGTTTTAGGCGTATGTGACGTGTGCCGTCCATATATATATATGAGAAGTTAAAGAGAAGAAGGTAGCTAGCATCTTTCGAAAGAGAAATTATACGTTTCCTCGGTATGTCATTTATCAACTAGTAAGAAGAGTCATACAGCACGCACACAGAAGAAAAAAATGTTCCATGTATTAATGTATTATTCTTTCTTATTCGTGGATAACTTCCACATAAAAATACAATCCTTGATGTCACGATCTTGTGTTTTTATAATCAATTGGGAGCCGAAATTCGAGTTTGATGTTTCTTCCAACATTTAGAAGAAAAGTATCACCAGTATTAAATGTCCTATCAACGTCACGGACGAATGGTCGCAACCGATGACCCAACTATCCAGTAAAAAAATTGAAAGACTAGTGAACTTCATCCATACAAAATTGTTTGGGATGGCAAATCAACAAAGTACAGCGATCGTTATCGATCACAAATTATGGTAGAAGACAACCCTAGAAAATAATAATACGATAATGTCAAACACATCAGCATGGATTATGACAAACCCTCACCCCCAAAGATATGTTTTACATCACTTCAAGCGTCATATAAGTGTTTTTTTTTTTGTCTGATCAATGTCCTGTATTCAATGAAAATGACTTATCTACATCGTCAAGACGCTACCGTGGTATATTGAGCAAATAACACGACATCCCACATTAAAATTTTTTGCATAACTTCACATAGTTGATTTAAAACACCGTCGCCTTAACGTTATGTTGGCAAAACCATTGGATATAAGTGTTTTTGTTTTTTTTTTGTCTGATCAATGTCTCGTATTCAATGAGAATGACTTATCTACATCACCAGGACGCTATCGTGGTATATTGAGCAAATAACATGACATCCCACATTTAAATTTTTTGCATAACTTCACATAGTTGATTTAAAACACCATCGCCTTAACGTTATGTTGGCAAAACCATTGGATATAAGTGTTTTTGTTTTTTTTTTGTCTGATCAATGTCTCGTATTCAATGAGAATGACTTATCTACATCACCAGGACGCTACCGTGGTATATTGAGCAAATAACATGACATCCCACATTAAAATTTTTTGCATAACTTCACATAGTTGATTTAAAACACCGTCGCCTTAACATTATGTTTCATGTAAGTCGTCGTATTTAGTTTCAACCTCATCACAACCAGTTGTATACAACTTTCTTCACAATTTAGGGTCATTTATACTCTTGTTTGGAATCGGATACCATGTGATTGGCCCTTGGACGTACGTTTTATAGATATTTCAGGTGCGATGTGTACTACTCGTATAAATATAATCAAGCTTGGAAAATTTTGTAATTAAAATGATTCTTTTTGAAATGTAAGTCTCAGGCATAAGCTCCTTTGTTGTATTATTTAGTTGTATAACTTTATTCATTTTCTTGTTTAGTGAATTGATCTACACGAAAGAAATATGCTTCCAGAATATCAGAATCTTAGTTTTTAGGCGTATGTGACGTGTGCCGTCCATATATATATGAGAAGTTAAAGAGAAGAAGGTAGCTAGCATCTTTCGAAAGAGAAATTATACGTGTCCTCGGTATGTCATTTATTAACTAGTAAGAAGAGTCATACAGCACGCACCCAGAAGAAAAAAATGTTCCATGTATTAATGTATTATTCTTTCTTATTCGTGGAAGACTTCCACATAAAAATACAATCCTTGATGTCACGATCTTGTGTTTTTATAATCAATTGGGAGCCGAAATTCGAGTTTGATGTTTCTTCCAACATTTAAAAGAAAAGTATCACTAGTATTAAATGTCCTATCAACATCACGGACTAATGGTCGCAACCGATGACCCGACTATCCAGTAAAAAAATTGAAAGACTAGTAAACTTCATCCATACAAAATTGTTTGGGATGGCAAATCAACAAAGTCCAGCGATCGTTATCGATCACAAATTATGGTAGAAGACAACCTTAGAAAATAATAATACGATAATGTCAAAACACATCAGCATGGATTATGACAAACCCTCACCCCCAAAGATATGTTTTACATCACTTCGACGTCATATAAGTGTTTTTTTTTTTTTTTTTTGTCTGACCAATGAGAATGACTTATCTACATCATCAAGACACTACCGTGGTATATTGAGCAAATAACACGACATCCCACATTAAATTTTTTTGCATAACTTCACATAGTTGATTTAAAACACCGTCGCCTTAACGTTATATTTCATGTAAGTCGTCGTATTTAGTTTCAACCTCATCACAACCAGTTGTATACAACTTTCTTCACAATTTAGGGTCATTTATACTCTTGTTTGGAATCGGATACCGTGTGATTGGCCCTTGAACGTACGTTTTATAGATATTTCAGGTTCGATGTGTACTACTCATATAAATATAATCAAGCTTGAAAATGAAGGGGAAGATGAGCAAAACAACAGACAATTGCAATAATTAATGAGACAAACAAACCTGGTTACTACTGTTTCGATGGACCATCACCGTATGGCTGCTAGTGGACTTGGTAAGGTGGCTCTTCCTAGCCCAAAAAGCTACCAAAATTCTCATGCAAATTTATACTATTTTAATCTGTGATCACGATGATTATCGTGTAATTATATCTTCAGAAAACAATATCCAAGTCGATGGAGAAGTGCGACTTATCTTCCTTTGAAATTTGTATGCGGTGGGAGGGGCTTCTGACTTCTGAGGCAAGAGTTAAAAGATCTGCACGATAAACTAGTGGTTCCAAATGACATCCCACTACACTTGCGGTCCTTTTCCTGCTCTAGTAAAATCATGAAAGGTTCTAGATACTTTTTTTTAGCCGAAATACTCGAGCCATTTGCAAATGGATTTGGCCTCTTAATTTGTTGATTGCGGCTAGCATTGATTCAATATTCTAGGGTTTTATTTTTGGGCACTCAATTACAGCTAATATATGCGACGGGTGATATATTGTTCTAATGATTATAGTCTTTCTCTTCAATCTACCTTATTCTGAGTTTAAACGTTTTTTCTCTATTTTAATGTAGAATATTGCTTGCATTAAGAAAATGCTTCATTTTATAAAAACTTCATGCTTGCTTGTACCTATAGGTGGTTAAATTAGATTGTAATGTCATTGTCAATCATTTGTTAAGAGAATGAATCCAAGAAGTATAAATAATCATAAGCCTTTTTTCGGATTCCATTTATAACATGGGTGACGTCATACTATCTTAGGCGAGGAGTCAGACAATTTTGGCTTGATTAAGCAGTGCAGTCGAGCCTTCTCCTTTTTACTGTAGCTTGACCGATTGGGCATGGGCTAGAGCTCATTTTGTTGGTTTTGATGGATTGAATCATCCAATACCCCTAGCAATTGAGAGAGGTGGACTTGCTATTATAGTAGATGGGAAAGAGATTATGAGCCTTTTTTCCATATGGTTTATGGTACTTCTTATGCTTTGGTTTGGAGGGCACACATAAGATGCAACCACTATTACTTTCCATTGTCTTATTTTTGTTGTTATTTATTTTGGTTGGTGTATTTTATAAAAGATAATGCTTGTGTCTCTCTATGGAGAACTTAATTGTCCCTCCTATGATTAACTAATATTTATCGTCCAAACATTTTAATCGGAACTGTACGTTCTTCTTATCATCATTTAAAGAGTACATATGCAAAAATTATTCAATTAGGAGACATTTTAGCCATTCATATGCATAAAACAAATGGACGGTTCATCATACGGATGACACTTGTTACCAAAATTGTTAATTGGTTTAACACAGATGGTTGACTAAACAATCTCCAAATTAAATGATTTTTTGTAGAATTGATTTTTAGATGATGATAAAGAGAATGAACATTTCCGATTTGATGTTATGATGTTCGAATGATACAAGTGTTAATCGTAACTGAGAGACAAGTAAGTCCCCTAATGCAGGGGAACATAAGCATTGTCCTTTTATGTATATCCGTTGTCTATTGGTTCTAGAAGCCATGAGCGATCACCTCATTCTGGCAATGTCACCTAAATTATCAACATTACATCTTGTTGGGATTATTAAAGAGAAAGAATAAAGGATTCTCTTTACAACTGCTTTTGGATGGTTTATGCTTAAAAACTTAAACATTCATACATTCTTCAATGTTCAATGTACGAAAATAATATATAAGTTGTTATTATTAACTCTGAATTAGAGTTTAGTTTCAATTGGAAAACATTAAATTTATAGGAATAGTGGACAGATTAAGAGAATATAGAGGGAAAAAGTGATAAAAATAGACATTAAATTTTTTTGAGCATAATGCTATATTTTACACTAGGGAAATGAGGAGTTTGGCTAAGCTACACAATGAGCAGTCTAATTTGGTATCGAATTCGCTGTTCACGAGATTAGAATCTAAGACTTCTCACTTACAAATGAAGAGGAATATCACCAGACCGTAGTATTAAATGACAAAATAGACATTAAATTTAAAACTTGTTAATTTCAAAATCATGGAAGGTCTGTTTAGGTTTACTTTTCTACTTTGCTTGCTTGCATTTCTACATCCTTTTGTTTTTCATAAATAAATAATCTGCTTCCGCACCAAAGACTACTATTAGTTATGTGACAAAGTATTAGGTTTAGGTGACTAAGACATATGCTAACACTATCGTAACCAAACTAGTCAAAATTCGAGATTGATCTAATTAATAAAATTTTATTTACAAAAGAAATTTCAAACTCTTTGCTAACGATTAAATAATGACACATGACGTTATATTATTAAACATAAATAAATACAATTTGCAATGAATACAATTTGATTCGATAATAATGAAACAAATCACATCAATTGATGCGTAACACATTTTAACTTTGTAGTAAAAGCAAGGAAAAAGACCAATCTGCTAATCTAAAGAGGACACAAATGACCAATAAAACTCATCCACTACCATTTATTTTCAATTTATGACCACCAAAAATAAAGTGAAAATTACGACAATTATGTTTGAGGAGTCAGGATCAATCCCAGCCAATCAATCCCAGCCAAACTGGATAACCATTTTCTTATCTTAACCAAACACCATATTTAACCCTAGTTATAGCTCTGGCCTGGCCCAACCCAAGTCCGCATCCAAACACCCCTCAAAGTCCCTCAATATATAAAGCCAAGCCACCCCTGCTCCCCTCCCTCTCTTCTCAATCAAATTCCACAACACATACCAAACCGCACAGTATCATGCTTTCTGCTTCGTCCTCCACCACATTCCTCGCCGCTCCAATTCTCTCCGCCGCAGCCTCTCCTAAAACGCCGACACGTGTACGATTTCAGCCGATTCGCGCCTTCGCCACCGGCTCCGCTTACGCTTTGCCTGAGGCCGAGACGGCGTCGTATCTCCGCCCTCAAACAATGACCTCGCTGTACGAAATCCTCGGCATCCCAGCCGTCGCCACGTGTCAGGAGATCAAATCAGCGTATCGGAGACTGGCTCGGGTTTGCCACCCCGACGTGGCGGCGATCGAGCGCAAGGACACGTCGGCCGACGAGTTCATGAAGATTCACGCTGCCTACTCCACGCTGTCGGATCCCGACAAACGCGCCGATTACGACCGGCAATTTATGCGGCGGAGCCGGCCGTTGTCGTCGGCGTCGGGATATTCGGGGTACTACACTCGCCGGAACTGGGAGACCGATCAGTGCTGGTAGTGAGTTGACTGTCCTGCTGACGGAACGATTCCGAAATTAAAGCAACTAATCCGCGAGATCGTCTGTAATTTTGTAATTATACGGAGGGTGGCATAGCGCAATCAGAGGCGTTGATTATTTTGATCTTGATGATCTGGCCGTCTGTCTGTCGGGCAAGAAAACAAGAAAAAAGAAGTCGCGCCAAAATTGTGGGATGTGAAAAGAGTTGAAAATGTTGTTTTGTGTTTTGATAATTACTATAATTATGTAGCATAATTAGGGATGCAACATTTTTAATATTTGTAAAGTTGTGTTCTTGTCTTGGATTAGTATGACATAAGTAGAGTATATATGGTGATTTACATGTAGAGATTGAAGCTCAGTATTTTGATGGGTAATCAATTTTTAATACTCTATTGGTATTGACGATTTTAAGTTTTCAAGTGTTTGTAATGTGAAATTAAGCAAACCTTGACCGTGGTTGAAAATAATCGATCAATCTTTAACTTTGTTGAAGGTCTTAACTTGCATTTGATTTACGCGTACTGAGATTATCATTTCATTTTTAAGTGATGGATTGTGTCATAAGTTCAAATATTTTTTCTTCTTTCTTATAACACCAACAATTACAAAGGTTGCCAACTTGCCACAATCATTTCTTCGGTGACCTATTCATTGATCTAGAGATAATTTGCATACAAGTATAAAGGGTAATTCCCTAAATGGCTATCACAAGTGGCACCAACACAAGCACCAACGTTATAAATCTATCACAAAAAAGAATAGACGTAACAGATCTAAACCAACACATATGAAATGTCATCGTGAAAAGTGAGACCACTGCAGTACAGACTACCTGCTAGTTGATGTGCTCCCTCAGACGTAAGCTTCTCTCTCCTTCCCACAAACAACAAACCTTAGATTTGCAACAACCATGGACGTTGGCCCCTTGCTCCAGCTTGGAGGCGGTGGCCGCATTTCTCCTCCCTCCTCCTAGACTATTTTTGCCGCCTTTGGAATAACAAAGGTTTTGCATTTTAATTACTTAGGAATTTGTTAAGTTATTGGAGGAGTTGTAAAGGTGTCATGGAAACTTAAGTCTATTAATTTGTAAACGCTTATAAATATTGTATTAGAAAGCTTTGAATGGTAAACTTGAATGAATTTAAAGTGTATTTACCTTGTGCATTTAACGAGAATGATTTCTCCTTCTAAAATCAAGCATTTTGGTGTTTGAACTTTGAAGTCTGCACGGACACATAGTTGAGGTGTCGGACCTCATAATTTCTTCATTAGAACGTGTTAGCGGTCAATTTTAGTGTGGGGCCACTTTACCACCAATTACTTGATGCTATGTCTTTGTTTAAGTCCAACTAAGCGCTGGTGGCCTTTGGGGGAAGGAAGATTGGAGATTGTGATATTGTGAAGTCGCTATCATTGAAAAATAGAAAATTGGTTGTCAACTATAGTTGTTGTTTTGTATAAGTCGGCCATTACAAGTTAATTAAGAACCCTAAGCAAAAATGAAAAAGTTGGATGTGGAATCTCGCATGCAATTGATGACTGATTGAGCGGTGCTAGTAGACAATCATTTCTTATGTTTTCAATTGTATTTTATTGGTTGATATCACGAAAACTCGAATTTGGATTCCATTCGAATCCAAATGATGAGGATCTTAAGAATTCTTACATCTTAACTATTCATTATATATCGTGCAGTTATAAATTATTTGAATTTTTTTATTTAAAATTGAACACAAATAACACCTAATGAAAATTGACCGTACCATATACAATGAATGGCTAGGATGTGAGGTTCGCTAAGATCTTCACAAAGATGATTCGAAGAGGACCCCTCATCCCAAAAACTCAACCATATAATAATCACTTTGAATTTTTAATGCTTTTTTAATATAAAGAAGATATTGATAAAAAAAAAATATCAAAGAGAAAACACTATAGTTTTTTTATAACAAAGAATGAAGAATTGAACACGAGAACTTCTTATCAGGTCAGAAAGAATAATGTTAGGGAGACCAAATTTTTCAACCGAATTTGCAAACCAAATGGTTTGTCTCAAATCTTGTATGTGAGAGCGGCTAGGAAGATTTTTCAGTGTGACCGAAATATGGGGTAGTACACCATGTGTTACTATAGAGATTGTGAGATATGTGTGTTAAAAAGTTAATAACTTAAAAAATAAAATTTCTCACCATTTATATAAAAATACGTGGTGTACCACCCGTGTTCAGGTCATAATGACATATTTCTCCATAAACAAGAATCTTTCCTATGAGATTTGAACATTTTCTAGTTTTACCAAGTCAAATTATTACTTTCCTTCGTCATGGTAACTTAATAAGAAAATACTTGACTCCTTATTTAGGGCTAATTTGGAGTTCTTGTATTCTGTTTTTCAAAACTGTTTGTGTTGTATTGTGAGAATAAATAATTGTGAAAAAATAGTTAAGTGTTTGGTAAAATATAGTACTAAAAGTACTTGTAGCAAAAAATGATGGGGCAGGATTGTCAACATGAAAGTTCCATTATTGAGACGGTTCATTTGTCCCCAATAAAAAAAGTGCTTTTTGAGAAGTATGTGTAGAGCTGATTCTGCTTTCTGTTGTTTCAAACCTATAAATTTAAATAAAAAGCACTTGTTTTTTCATTATCAAACACAATTAAGGTCCAACCTTAAAATAAAATAAAAAAATTATATAAAAATAATAATAATTAAAAAAAAACTATTTTTAAAAAAAAATTAAACAACTCAAAAACAAGCTCCTAAAAAGTGGCAAATTACCGTTTGACTTTGACGTGCACATAAAGCTTTACTTTCACAATTCTATATATACTAGCCTTCATGCACGCGCTCATCCGCATGAGTGCGTGCAAAAGATATTTTTTTAAATCACGGCATGCTACGCTCGACTTACACGTTTTAAATGTATTTAAATACGTAAATTGACAAAAGAAAAATCAAATATTTGAAGTAAATGAATAATCTTATATTATGTTAAAAGAAACCCCTTATAAACCAATTAAAGTAGCTGAATTCACATAATAAAATTAGTCTCTATATAATTTACATTAAGAATGGAGAAAATAATATTTAATAAACAATTGATTGAATCACATTATTGCTAACCCATTGTGAGGTTAAGCCCACCCCCTTCCCCTTAGTGTAGATGTGACATCCCACATCGCCCAGGGGAGTGATCCTTAAATGTATATTCCCATCTCTACCTAGCACGAGGCCTTTTGGGAGCTCACTGGCTTCGGGTTCCATTGGAACTCCGAAGTTAAGCGAGTAGCGCGCGAGAGCATTCCCAGGATGGGTGACCCATCGGGAAGTTCTCGTGTGAGTTCCCAAAAACAAAACCGTGAGGGCGTGGTCGGGGCCCAAAGCGGACAATATCGTGCTACGGTGGTGGAGCGGGCCCGGGAAGTCGTCCTGCCCAGGCCGGGATGTGACAGTAGATAATATCGTTTGTTAAAAATAAAAATAAAATAAAAAAATCATTTAACAACTAATTTAATCACATTATTATCTGCGTGCGAAAAACTTTTTTTTTATAAGGCATTACACATCTCTTAAGATGTTTTGAATGTGTTTAAAAATAGAGAAAAATAATATTTAATAAATAACTGATTGAATCACATTATTGCTAGCATATTGTGAGGTTAAGCCCACCCCTCCCCCTTAGTGTAGATAATATCGTTTGTTAAAAAAAAAAAAAAACAATCATTTGACAACTAATTTAATCACATTAGTATCCTCGTGCAAATGACTTTTTTTATAACCGGCATTACACGCCTCTTAAGATTTGAACGTGTTTAAAATAGAGAAAATAATATTTAATGAATAACTGATTGAATCACATTATTGCTAGCTCATTGTGAGGCTAAGGCCACCCTCCCTCCCGTTTTGTGTAGATAATATCGTTTGTTTAAAAAAAAAAACAATCACTTGACAACTAATTTAATCACATTATTATCCGCATGCGAATGACCATTTTTATAACCGGTATTACACGCCTCTTAAGATGTTTTGAACGTGTTTAAAACAGAGAAATTGAATCTCATTATTGCTAGCATACTGTGAGGCACTAATAAAAAAATTTAATTATTAAAAAAATATTGTTAAAATGATGAAAATGCCCCTGCCTTATTTGATGCATTATTTTGAGATGTCTTTGAAGTTTTTTTTGTCTTGGGGGCATTTTGTTGAAGCTTCGAGACACCAAAATCACTATTCACTTTTCCATTGGAGAATGCATGCAGAAGATATTTTTTGAATCAGGGAATGCTACGCTCGACTTAAACGTTTTAAATGTATTTAAATGCGTAAATTGGCAAAAGAAAAGTCAAATATTTGAAGTAAATGAATAATCTTAGATCATGCTAGAAGAAACCCCTCATAAACCAACTAAAGTAATTGAATTCATATAATAAAATTAGTCTTTATATAATTCTATTCAACTAACTTCCCCACTAGTCACACTTAGAAATAAATTAATTAAAGCAGTCACATGCATAAATATAATTCTATTCAATCAATTAATCAATCGAGAAATAATATCCATAAAAATAATTATCCATATTTCAAAATAAACCAAAACTAAACAAATAATAACAAAGACTTAGAAAAATTGTCCAAAATTAAACCATAAACCTAGAAAAATAGGGGGTTCGGCCACTAGGGGTGTAAAACACCCTAACTTGTCTTAGAAAAATAAACTTTATTTTTCCATAGGAGCGGATGCCTCCTGAAAATCTAAAACCTCCATATTTGTAGTAGCATCTTCGGGATGTTCCACATGCACAAAGTTAGTCTCACAATGCGAATGATACTTGGCAATGGCCTCGGGGGTAACTTGGCATATGCGTGACTAATGATCCTTTGATCCATGGTGGTAGCACGTGTCTAGTTCAGTGGAAGCCAATTAAACGGTAGTTTTTCCCTTGTTCTTGAAGTTTGGGGCCTTAGAGGCAAGAGGTTGGCGCTTTTGGGTCAAATTTTCTCCCTTGGGTGGGCCTCTGCTTCGTTGACCTTGGGCCTGTGGTAGGGCTTGCCGCCCATTTCCACTGCCACGACGGGGTTTTCGTCGGTTGTGGTTGCTAGAATTTGTTGCATACACTTCAAGCGGAGCGTTCGAGCCAGTATGTCGAGCTTGATAATTCTTCATCACATGCTGGTTCTGCTTATCAATGAGAAGTAAAATAGAGATCAAATCCAAAAATTTGGTGAACTTATATGCCCTATATTGTTGTTGCAGGACAATATTGGTGGCATTGAAGGTCGAATGGGTTTTCTCTAGGAGATCCTGTTAGGTTTAGTCATCTTCACAAAACTTAAGCAGTGATCAGATTCTACAAACTTTAGAGTTATATTCATTCACAAACTTAAAGTCTTGGAAGCGTAA